CCAGTCTGGTCTCAAACTCCTGACCTCAAGTAATCTGTCTGCCTCACCTCCCAAAGTGTTGGGATTACAGGCATGAGCCACCATGCCCAGCCAACAGCTGGATTTTCATACCTCCTTCTTCTTTCAAGCTGTAGTGATAATACACATCATGTAGACTCTGGAAAACTCCACTGAACACCCATTTGTATATGTGCTGCTGAAGCGAGCACCTGAACAGCCATCAGAAAAAAAAAGTCTTTTTTATTCCTATTAAATAGTTTTGGCTTTGCAGACACCCAGAAAGAGTCTTAAGAACTCAGGCGTCTGTGGATCTCACTTTGAGAACCACTGTCTGGGCACTCATTTACCAATGGGATCGGATAATCAAGAACCCCCAGACATTTGAAGGAAACCGACAGCCTGCAGAAGAAGTAGACAGAACCCTGGAGAAAACAGGATAATAATGCAGGAATCAGGAGAAGACATTAAAATCAGCATAATTCATATCCTCTGAAGGGTCAATAAAATATAAGAACCAGTCAGATGGCAAGTGGGCACAGAGCAAATACACAAAAACCAATACTTTCCATAGATACCAATAAATAATCAATTGGAGAGGATGTTTGCAAAACCAGCAAATATCACAAATAATCTAGGCATAGGCATAACCAAAGTTCTGGAGAACCTACATGAAGACACATTTTTAATCGTATTAAAGGACATACATTGAGAGATGTGTTGTTTCCTGTGGGAAGCTTCAATATTATAAAGGTGGCAATTATTTGAGTTGCTCAGTGAACTGTCCTCTGCATTATACTAGGTTGAGCGGGATTTCTGTCACGAGTATGCACCAAGAGTCATAACTAATATATCTTCTAGGTCAGCAGTCCCCAGCCTTTTTGGCACCAGGGACCGGTTTCATGGAAGACAATTTTTCCACAGGCCCGGACTGAGGTGGGGATGGTTTCAGGATGAACCTGTTCCACCTCAGATCATCAGGCATTAGAGTCTCATAAGGAGGGCGCAACCTAGATCCCTCACACGCACAGTTCACAGTAGGGTTTGTGCTCCTATGAGAATCTAATTCCACTGCTGATCTGACAGGAGGCGGCGCTCAAGCGGTCATGCTCCCGCACCTGCCACTCATCTGCTATGTAACCTGGTTCTTAACAAACCACAGACAGAGAACAGTCTGTGGCCCTGGGTTTGGGGACCACTGCTCTAGGTTGAAAGCCACTCCAAATAAAATAAAGAGACAAGTGACTGACTGCAAGAAGATGTTTGCAACACATATAATAGTCAAAAAGTTAATATACTTAATATATAACATTCCTGGAGTCATATGAAGACAAAGAACCTTAAAATGCAGGCAGATAATAGAAGCTAAACAAGAAGTAGCTACATGCATGAAAACGAATCCACCTCTGAATTAGTTAGGGTAAGGCTCACCTGTTCTAAGAGACCCGATGATACAGAGGGTAGATGAAAAAACAGATCTGTTTCGGTATTAGGTTCTCCAGAAAACAGAACCAATAGGAGAAACACACACACACACACACACACACACACACATATATGATAAATGTGTATATTTATCTAATATATATTATAGATCTATATTAGACATTACATAGGATATATATATACACAGACACACACATGCACACATTTATTTTAAGGAATTTTGAAGAATTTATTTTAGGGAACTGTTTTAAGGGATTTATTTTAAGGACTTGGCTTCTGCGATTGTGGAGGCTTCGTAAATCCAAAATCTGCAGAGTAAGCTGGTAGGCTGGAGACTGATATTCCAAGTTGGAGTTCATGAGCAGTCTGCCAGCAGAATTCCTCCTTGCTCGAAGCAGGTCAGTCTCTTTTCTCTTAAGGTCTTCAACTGATGGGATGAGATCTGCCCACATTGTGGAGAATAATCTGCTTTACTCAAAATCTTCTGATTTAAAGGTTAATCTTATCTTAAAAAATACTTTCGCCAGGTGTGGTAGCTCAGGCCTCTAATTCCAGCACTTTGGGAGGCCGAGGCGGACAGATCACTTGAGGTGAGGAGACCAGCCTGGCCAACATGGTGAAACCCCATCTCTACTAAAAATACAAAAATTAGCAGAGCATGGTGGCACATGCCTGTAATCTCAGCTACTTGGGAGGCTGAGGCACGAGAATCGCTTGAACCTGGGAGGCAGAGGTTGCAGTGAGCTAAGATTGTGCCACTCCAGCCAGGGCAACAGAGTGAGACTCCGTCTCAATCAATCAATCAATCAATCAATAAATACCTTCATAAAAACATCTAGAATAGTGTCTAATCAAATATCTGAGCAATGTGGCCAGATGTTTAAGTTAACACACAAAATGAGCCCTCACTCTTACTTTCTCAGGTTATGGGTCTAGGCTGAGCAGCAGCTCTGCTCCTCCTGGTCCCCCAAAACCCCAGGACCCTTCTCTCCCGCTGCTGACCTCCCCTAGGGCACTGCCACAGCCAGATACTAGGCAGCTTGGAGGCCCAGGTAGAGAAGAGCCTCCTATCACAGGCCTGCTCTTACTCTGTTGCTGAGAACTTGGTCCTGTGGACAAGCCTAACTGTAAAGCAGGCAGGAAATGCAGTGGAGCTCAGCAGCTGCTGCCCAGCCACAGATCTGTTGGGCAGGAAGAAGAGGAAAATGGATTGTTTTTTCCTTT